TCTCTGAAAATAATTGCAGGTTTGTTGTTGTTATTACTCTAGCCCGAGAACTCACTCATTATGTTGAAGCAGTGCAAGATGCCAAATGGAGGCTTGCAATGCAACAAGAACTTCATGCACTAGAAACCAATAGAACATGGTTTCTAGAAACTCTACCGGATAGGAAGAAACCTCTTGGTTGTAAATGGGTATACAAGATCAAGCATAATTTAGATGGCACGATAGAGCGATACAAGGCGAGATTGGTTATTCTCGGGAATCATCAAAAAGAAGGGGTTGACTATACTGAGACATTTTCCCCTATTGTCAAAATGGTTACGGTTCACCTTGTTCTTGCTGTTGCAGCGACAAAGAAGTGGGAATTGCATCAAATGGACATCCACAATGCTTTCCTTCATGGTGATCTACATGAAGATGTGTACATGAAGCTTACTCCAGGCTTTCATGCTTCTCAACCGAACCATGTTTGTAAATTGAAAAAGTCTTTATACGGTTTGAAGCAAGCCCCTCGTTGTTGGTTTGCCAAATTATCATCTGCTTTGATAAACTTTGGATTCCATCAGTCGGGTTGTGACCACTCACTCTTTACTCTTCTTGTCCATGAAGTGCAAATGATGGTTCTGGTATATGTAGACAATTTGATTATATGTGGGACATTTAAAATATTTTAGCAAGTGCTTTCACATGAAAGACTTGGGTCATTTAAAATATTTTTTGGGAGTAGAAGTTGCAAGGAATTCAAGTGGAATATTTTTGTGTCAGCGTAAATATGCATTAGACATTATTCAAGAAGCAAGCCTACTTGGTGCACAGCCCGTGGCTACACCTCTTGAGCAGAATCATCAACTTGGACTAGCCACTGGACGCTACATTGATCAACCTAATAGGTATCGACGCCTTGTTGGGCGCCTCATATACTTGTGTTTCACCAGACCGGAATTGTCCTACTGTGTCCATACCTTGTCGCAATTCATGCAACAACCGCATGAAGAACATTGGAATGCAACCATTCGAATTGTGAGATACCTCAAAGGAAGTCTTGGGCAAGGAATTCTCCTCAAAAGCACATCTGATTTCCAACTGCATGGATGGTGTGATTCCAACTGGGCCGGAGTCCATTAACTCGGCGTTCAACTACTTGGTGGTTTGTGTTCTTGGGTCACTCTCCTATATCTTGGAAAATTAAGAAACAACATATTGTCTCTCGTTCATCCGCTGAAGCAGAATACCGTTCTATGGCTACTACTTGTTGAGAACTTAAATGGCTTTGGAGCTTACTGGCTGATTTAGGCATTTCTCATAAAGGACCTATGCACCTCCACTGTGATAGTTAGACTGCTTTACATATAGCGAAAAATCCAGTTTTCCATGAATGGGCAAAGCATATTGAAGTGGATTGTCATTTCATTCATAATGAGATACTCCAAGGCACCATTCAACCATCATATGGTCCAACACAAGAGCAACTTGCCGACATCCTTACAAAAGTCTTGGGATGACATCAATTTCAAACTCTGCTTAACAAGCTGGGCATTCGTTGTGACACCCTCTACCCCAACATTAATACACAATAACTTTAAACAAAATATTTTTTTTTCTTGAGTAAATAAAATCTTTCATAGTTTGATAACATCTTTCATGTATAAAACAATTGTCTCAAATATCATAAGGTGGAAGATTCACATTCGTAATTCATAAATCATAGAAAGTCATCATGTAAGTATCAAAATTCAAGAAATCATATAAAGGAAAATATAGATTAATCCCAGCAAAGGTGGCAATGCCTCCTAGTTAGGAATTAATTTATAACTTTAAAATCATGTAATAAAATAGTATGACAAAGATGTACATTTTGGTCTTTTCTCAAGAACGTTTAAAATTACAAAAGAAGAGAAAATTAAAGCTTTTAAAACAATAACATCCCAAAAACAAGCCTAGCTATGCCCGATGTCACATCCTATCAGAGCATGCCCAACTGAAGCCTTAAGCCTCATCACCAACATCCTCATGATGTTGTTCACCTGCAACATAATTTAAACATATACAAAAACAACAAGGGAGTGAGAAACATCTCACTCAGTTTCAGGTGCAGAAATAAAGGTTAGATAACCCCCACACACACACAACAAATATAAGTCACATGTAAACAATACACATAAATAATCAATATCACATATATACTCATTTATCATGCTATGATGTCATGGACTCGACTCATAAATGCATGCATGTGGCGCCATAAGGAAGTTTCACATATCATCACTGGTGACCCTAAGGTACACCTGGTTACATCACTGGTGACCCTAAGGTACACCTTATTAGCATGTTACATCGTGGGTGACCATAAGGTACACCTTATTAGCATGTTACATCGTGGGTGACCATAAGGTACACCTTGTTAGCATGTTACATCGTGGGTATGCGGCCTCAGCGGCACACCTGGAGTAATATATGCATATGATGCATGTCATACATTCATAATCTCATTGACTCAACATTTAACTTATTACATAATTTTATTTAGTACATCATGTCATTATTCTTCATATTCTCATAATCATAACTTGTCTCAATAGTCCATTCTTAGGTCTCATGTCATTTGTCCATATTTCACATGGTCATTTCATAAATACTCCTCATAAGGTCCGCACAAGAATTCATATAGATCCACAGAAAACATTCTTATTCATATTAAAACTCATTTATTTTTAACATTAATTTCATATTCATTATTACTTCCAACAAAGAACAACGTAACAAGGAACAAAATAAAGCAAACAGAAAATAAAACAGAACAACGACAAGGGATTGGGGGCCAATCCGACAAACTAACTATCCAACAATTATTCTCACAGCCCCGAGCAAGGTTTCTCACTCCCCCCTTACCTGGATAAGCAGGAGCTGGAACTTGGGCAGAGCCTCCTCCTCTGGAATCACTCTTTTTCTTTCTCCTTCTTTCTTTCTCTTTCTCTCTCTTTCTTTCTCTCTCTTTCTTTCTCTCTCTTTCTTCCTCTCTCTTTCTTTTTCTCTCTCTCTCTCTAAAATTTTCACTTCTCTTTCAGTATAAATTTTTCACCCCCCCTGGCCCTATTTATAGGCATCCTGGCGCACCCGGAACGGCCCGTACTGATTTCGGAACGGCCCGTTCTGGAACCTTCAAATATACGTAAAATTCTCAACTGGAACGGCCCGTTCTAATATCGGAACGGCCCGTTCTGAGATCCATGTTAACACACATTGACTATAGTTGGAATGGCCCGTTCCCAACTTAACTTTCTAGGCATTTTTCTTACTCTGGAACGGCCCGTTTCACTTTGGGAACGGCCCGTTCCACTTTGGAACGACCGTTCTGCTTCCTCAAAAACAGTTCATTTTTATTGTTTGGAACGACCTGTTCCACTTTTGGAACAGCCTGTTCCAGCCTAAAACCAGAATTTTATATAAAAAAATTTCATAAATAATTTTAAATTATTAAAAATCCATAAAACCCTTTAACTAACTAAAATAACTATAAGAAAAATAATCTTCATAAGTAAATAATAATTGATATTGTAATAGTAAAAATTCTGGGGTGTTACATTCGTAATCCTCATGCTCCACCTTTAGGGGGGTAATATGGGATATGTTATACGGGTTATGCTCTCATGCACAATTCTTGGGATTACTTCCTCAATTGAAATAATTAATTTTGCGTACATTTTGTCCGTTTTAATTCTCTTTTATTGCAGAATAATGCCACATCATATCAAGGATATGAGGGAGATAATTTAGCCTGTAGTTTAAGATCTGTAGCTGTCATATACTTATATATAATTACCTATTGATCAATAGAATGAGACACACGATTCTTTTTCCATAACTTTGTTAATTTTCATTCACATATATAATTTTTCACTTTCCAGGTTTTATTGTTTCATTGTTATCTTCTTTTAATTTTAAAAATTATTCTTCTTATTATTTTATTTTAGCCAATCAATAAAATATGTCAAATAGAAAGTATGTATCTGATTTTGAAAAGTTAAAAAAAAAAAGAGAAGAATTGAAAAATTAATTCAATCTCAACAAGGTGTTCTTCATAAATTTGTTACTATTCATAAATTTGTTTTCAGAATTAAAGTTATTGAAAGAAATTCTAACAAATAAAATTAACACACCATTAAAAATATTGAACTATATAAAAAGATCAAGTTCTTTTCCAACATACACTGCTTATAGAATATTATTAACATTACTTGTAACTGTTGCGATTGCTGAAAGAAGTTTTTTTAAAATTAAAATTAATTAAATCATATTTAAGATCAATTATGCTACAAGATAGATTGAATGAGTTAACTATATTATCTATTGAGAGTGAGAAATTATAATTACTTGATTGTAAAATTTTAATAAATAATTTTGGAACTCAAAAAGCCAGAAAAATAACATAAAAATTATTAGGTTATTTAACATAGACCCCTGTTTTAATTTTTACCTAAAGCCTCGAAATTCCTAGATACGACCCTGACAGAATACTACTGAGTCAACTTAACTAAGGTTTTTAATGCTGGTTTGGCCAAACGTTTTGTCCACCTTGACACTTTCCAAAGTGAAATGGTCGAAGACACAAATCCCTGTCACGTTTAATGGCAAAAAAAGGTTTTGTCTTCTTATTCACCCTTAGTAAACCAAATAAATGCTCCCCTTGAAGTTTTTTCTTCCATAAACTATTTATCTCCTTTTGGTCTAAAAAATTGTATGGTGTTGCTAACTAGCTCTTAAAAGATTAATTTTAGAGCATTTGTTCTCATGTAATAGTACTGCTTTAACAGGTCCATTAATTATTATATTTTGAACCTCTTTTTTATTTTTTAAACAAATGCAACATGTTAGTTGGGGCCCTTAATTAGTATTTAATGTTTTATGACTCGCATTTGCATTGCATGAGCAGTAGCATTAGATTGTGGATAGTGACAATGATTTGCATCCTTCTCATGCAACCATATAGATAAATGTTCAAGGTCTTTCAATTGAAAAGAAAAACATTTATAATCAATAAAAATTTCGTGTCTGGAAAAACATTGTCTTGAATATACATTTATACCTATGCATGTGGAGTAAAATAATCATTTTGAATAAAAATAATTATTTGAAAAAGCAACCCCAACCTAAGAAGGGAGCAATCAATGGTTGGAGTACTAGTACTCCATGATGGAAGTATTGTTAAGTAACTGCACATGAGAATCAGAAAACCTAGTCATAATGGTTTGGTAAAGGGATGGAACTACTGCAGTGAAAGGTCCTGATTCTTAAGGAAACTCCAAGGTCCTGATCCTGTACCAATCCTGCAAACCAATGTTCTGAAGGGTTACACTTTTGTCATCCTCTGCCAGACATGGTAACATAATGTGTTCACACAAGATGTGAAGGAAAAATGTCTCATAATGTATTGCTTAGTAGGCAAACTTTTATGTGTAGTAAAATAGATTACCTCCAAAAGCCTGCAAATATCCTTAGAGTCATGTAAATAGACAACGCAATCCAGATACCAGTAAAGCCAAGGCTTGAGGACAGCATAAATAAGCAAAATATGCTCACCAATGCTACCATAATCTGGGAGTAATAGCAAGTTCATAAGCCATAAAAGAGAAATAAATTCATTCACAGAAGGAAAATGAGGGGTTGGGGCTGACTAACCTTGCAATAATTTTGTCTAAGTATAAATAATAAAATAAGAAAAAGATAAAAAGAACTAATTGGTTGATCAACATTCACAATATTATTCTTTTGACTATTTCCAAAGCCAAAGCCAAAGTAAGGTTGATCAGCATTCATGAGTCATGAACACAATCTCAGATGCTTTCCTTGAGTCTAGAAAGAATTTAATAACTTACCATTGAGTAAGCAGAGTATGAGAAATCTGAAGCTCCGTAGTTGAGTCCATCAAAAATAAATGCTAGAACATTGATGGGTTGAGTTGCAGCAACATACTAGCAAATATTTATCAAACAAAAGAGACGAAAAATACATAAGCTTTGCAAATTTGAGAAAACAATATAGGAAGAAAGAGTACTATTATTTTATGTCATATGGATATTACTTACCGGAATGCCAATACTAATAAGTTGCAGAACATTGATGTCATTTGTAAATAACTTAGAAGCAAAAGGTAGTATACTTAAAAGAAGAATTGAGAGCCCCAACCCAAGCATCAAGCCAAGCTGCACAATCAAATTATTCAAGACAGGTGAATTAAGAATATGACAAGCTAAATAAATAATATGAAAGTAACAAGTTGGAATACCAGTAGCACACGTGAGGCAGATGTGATAACCTTTTGGTAATCCTTTCTTGCAAATGCACTTGCAATAATAGCCTGAAAAGAGTCCTTCATTATGGTCTATATAGGCTTGAATGTATAATATGAACATATTTTTTAGTGAATAGAATCATCTCTTAGTGAAGATTGATACATGAATAATGCATGATGACAGATATCACAACGAGAACATGGGAATGCATGCAATTAATGATGAATCTGAGGCAAATGCCAACACATGAGCATGTAGAAACCCACTAAATGCAATCACATAAGAATTTTTTCTATGCTTTAAACATGCATAACAATCATGCTATAGAAGAGCCAATAAGTATTGTCATATTGTCTTCCCACAGATGCCAAGTTGGGTTTTGACACAAGCCCTAACTAGGGAAAAAAAAGTCTGGCTACAATTAATGATAATGTGGAAACATTGATATCTTTAGGATTTGACTCCTCTAAGAAAGTAAGGATAAAGCAAAAAATCTTAGTTGTTGATTTCCTCATCCATTATTGAGATCACTCACTTTCACTTCTAAAGTGAATTGCTTACTTTAGAGGAGTTTGATCCATCGTTAATCCCACAATTAATTTTCTATTCAAACAAGCAATTGGCAATAGATGGTGTTGGCATGTGAACTAACTAACTAATCTAGAATTTGACTTTGTTGCTAAGTCCATTTTGCTTCATCTCTTACTTACCTAAGAGATGATTTTAAGCCATAGATGTACTGAATGTATATATTTTGCTAGTTGCTTCTAGAATGCATGTTTTCATTTCCTTGGTTGTTAACATATAATTGTATTTGACTTTTACTTTTTTGTAAAATATTTGTGCTTATTGTTATATTGTGATCTAGAGGTCACAGGTTCAAATCCTAGAAAGAGCCTCTACACTTGTAGGGTAAGGATGCATACATCTACCCTCCTTAGATCTAACCTGATGGAAGCTTCATGCATTATGTACTGTGTAATCCATATACTAAAAAAATATGTGCACTTGACAACAAATAGAAATTCTTCATTCCAACCATCTAGATTGCTAAACTTATATTTAATAAAGGATCAATTTATTACTTGTCCAGCAACAGCCAATCCATCAGCAAGCAAAGAGGTTGCCATCCAAATCTGTAAGCAAATTTGAAATGCAGCCATTGTTATTGATCCTTGCCTTGCTGCTAGGGATGCTGACAAGGTCACACAGAAAGTCACAGCTGCAACTTTAATCAATAACAGAAACCCTACGAACATGGAAAGAGAATGAAGTTAAAAAAAATTGTCCTTAAGAATGTATCAAATATATTCACATAGGACTACGTTGTTGATCAAATTCAAGCAATAGGAAAAATGATGTTTTGGAACCCCATAAGAGAGTCCTCTTTTCCTGAAATTTATGACAAAAAGAAAAAGAAATTGTCCAAGAAAAGGATTAGGATTTAGGAGTCTTGCATTTATCTTGTCTATTTATATTTAATTGTGATAGAAGTGTTGCAAGATCCTATCTACTATGCAAATAAATACCACATTTAGGTTGTGATTCTTTTTTTCATGAAAAGTAACAAACAATGTCAAAATCAATCTTTGAACTGAAGCTCACTAGTGATAAAAATAAAGCCAAGAGATTCTAAAAGTACAAAAGGCGTAGGTATAAATTATAACCATTTTTCAGAATCTTCCCAAATTGAAAGTCTTGGATACTTGGAGGTAGAAGAACAACTTGTTTCACTAAACTCCACAATAGTATTATGGAAATCAAGTACCTGTTAAATCATATCACAAAGTAAAAAAAGAAACATAAGTGAAACATAATTTCAGTTGGAATATCATATCTGATGATACATCCAGAATTAGAAATTAATATCAAAGGTGAACTTACTGCGAGATAATGTGGGCAATGGCTGCCCCACTGACTCCCAACCGCAGAACGAACATAAGTAATGGATCTAAAATGACATTTGTTACATCTCCTATTACTGCAATTAAAGTTCTCAGTGAGAACAAGATCTAGTTCATTTTTATATAGAAGTAAAATATAATTGATCTCCACTAATCTACTAAAATGACTCTAGATCTTATTCAAAAAAATTGAATTGATACATATGACACAACATACTAAATATGAAAAAAAAAATGCTAGTTACTTTCTTTCATTTTTACTTCGAAAAACAATTTTTTATGTCAGAACTATTTTTCTCTCCCTTTCATAGCATCATTTTTGTTGATTTAGATTTGGACAAACAGTTGCATACTTGGCCAATTATCGAAATGGCAATCTCTATATGACATTTTATCCACAAACATGACATAGGACATATTAGGATAAACTTCTCCAAAAACATAAGAAAAGTAAAAATGAAATAAGCTTTCAACATAAGCTAAAATTAGCTTATACAAGTTATAAAAAAAAGTATTTTGAAGAAGCTAATATAGAAGAGCTTCTTCAAATTAGCCTATATATAAGTTAATTTTAACTTTTGAAAAAATTTATTTATTTTTCTTTTATATTTTATTCTCCTAAAAGTCCTTTTGGAGAAGTTTATCTAAAAGGATACATATTGTTTTTAATTTAGGAGATTATGTTAAAATCAATATACTTAAGTGATTTTATCTAAATGGAAATCACATTATTAACTTAATAACTACCAATTAACACTGATCTAGTATCATCGTAAAGAACAGAATAAAGATACTAGTCAGATGTAAAGACAGGTACGATGTACCAGTAGCATATAAAGGAGTTCTTGTGTCTTTGATTCCACGAAAAACTCCTTGAATTGCCATAGAAATAATAACCGCTGGTGCACCAAATGACCTTAATGTCAAGTATTGTTGTGCTGGTTTGAACATAGGAAAATTCTGCAAGAAAAATAACATTTGCAGTCATTTCACATAGAATTGCAAGGTAGCTAGCTAAAAGGAGATAAAAGTCTATAAAAATGTAAAAAGGACAGAAATCAAAATTCAAAACATCTAACGTACTTTCTACAAGTATGTATCAATTAAGAAATTAATTTGAGAGTAGAATTAGATAAAGCTACCTTCAAACAATTATTAAACCAGTCCATGTGATGCAAAAAATAATGGATTTAATTTCCTATTGAAGTTAACATTAAATTCATTGTGAATTTGTCAAGAAATTACTCACAGAATGAAGGCCCATGTAATTCAACAATGGTTTAGCTGTAAAAATGATAAAGAGAGCTTGTAGGACCCCAAGCACACCACCAATAACTATTCCCGATGATGCAGATGGAATATAGCTTTTGTCTTGACCAAGTTTATTAGCCTCTTTGTCAACATTAGTTGACGAAGAGCTGCCTTCAAAATGTAAATCAAAACTAAAATCAATGCTAAAAATAATCCAGAAAAGTTTTTGCATTGAAAGAAAATTGTGTTCAAGGTTATCTGAGATCTAAGTGTTCCACTCAATGGAATGATCCGTACTATACAAGTGGAGAGCTTTAAAAGTTTTCTTTATATTATTCTTCAAAATAAAATTATACCTCCTTTCTCAGCTTGGTCTTGTACATCTAACTTTTCATCTACATTTACAGAAGAGTCCTTGATCAACATTTCTTTTTCTGACCGTACTTCATCAGTAGCATCTTCCTCAGCAACCAAAGAGGTTGTAACACTGACCAATGGAATTATTGTAATTTTTGATATTTGATTGAAAATAGCAATTGAGACTCCCACAGCAGCAAGCTCCACAGGACCTACAAAATAATATTTCACGATATAACCAAATGCAGTTCAATCACGAGCTAATGACAATTAAAAACAAATTATGAAAGGGGATTTCTAACAGCATACACAATAGATCTAACAGTTCATGGAAAATATTTGGCATAGTTTCATTTCATCCCTGATGAGATAAGGCTTTAGTTGTTGTTATAGTTCCTTCCCTTTATTAAGAAAGTGAATTGGAGTTTTGTTTCCTACTTATATACACTTTGTTGACCTATTCCTAATCAATGTGATATCTCCAACACATACCCTCAAGATGTGAAGTTTACAAGATTGAACATATGCAAGTGTTCAAACAACGGCCCGATTAGAGGTGGCCTAACAAGGCCAACAACACTCACTTTGCAGGACTAGACATTTGCAGGTGGTCCAACTACGGTCCGATAGCGGATGGTCCGATAAGGTCAACAATATTCACTAAAATAGGTTCTGATATGCTTTGATATCATATTAAGAAAGTGGATTGAAGCCTAACTCAACCTTACCAAACTGGCTTATTAGGTGAGAATTGCTCTTTTACTTATATATACATTGCTCTTTAAATATTTATAATAGGTATTAAGACATGAACTTATAAATAAGAGCATTGTTACATGTATTAGCAAGTCTACCGGTATGATAAATATATAAATCATTCAATGTTTCACTTCCGTAGGACCCTCCCTGATGGAATCATGCTTTGGAGTGCAAGAGGTGACATACTCAAAGAACCAAGAGGAGTTGGCTAGACATGAAGGTTTGGGCCAGTCAGGGCCCAATGGGCCTGATGGGCCTGAGAAGGCCCAAGTTGAACTTTTCATGGGCCATATTTTGTTATAGTTATTTTCATATGTTTTGTATACATCATGTTAGTATAGGTATCATATATTTTGGTCTTGTATTTTGGACCACATAGAGTAGCATTTTAGGTTTTAGGCTAGTTGGGCCTAGTTTTTTTTCCTATTCATTGTATTCATTAGACCAATGTATTTCGGTCATTAGATTAGGATTATATGAAGAATACATTAATAGGAGAATTAGGTTTCATTTATGCATCATTTAGAGGTAATTTGAGATGAATTTGAGTCACATGGATGGCATGTAGTAGTTCCGGCCATGTGAGCTCAAATTCACTTCAAATCACTCCTAAATGACACCTAAATGAAGGTAGCAATCCGGTTTAAGCATGTGAGTGGCCAAAGTTTGAATTTCAAATTCAAAATTTGAAATTCAAACTTGGCGCCAACTATGCCTACTTGGTTGCCGCCAAGCTTGACCTAATTTTCCTCCTATAATTGTATCTCTTCCCTCCTTGTAAAAACACTTTTGAATATATAAGAATTTCTGAACATTATCTTCAGCTAATTCCCTCAAGAGTCACCGAAATATCCAAGAGAGAAAACCTAAGAAAATGCCTTCAAAAACCTTTAGGAAAACCTAGTTTCCTTCACTTTGAAGTGTGCAATCCCTTGAGTTCTTGAGCTTGGGTGCTTCCTTCTTCCATTTCCGCAGATTGTTCATCATCTTCACGAGTTCTTCAAGTGTGTTTCTATCTCCATTGAAGAAGATCCGAGCCTAGGAGGAGTTTAGGAAGAGTTTGAGCTTCACTCCTACTACTCACCTCCATCACTCCCTCTCCACGAGATGTCCTATTTTCTAGGTTTCTAGTCAAATCCCGTCTGGTGAAAGAGTTTCCCTTGTAACATTCACATAGTTTCAGACTTGTTTAGGGTTCAGGGTTTACTCAATATCCTTTTTGTTATCAACATTCACAAAGTTGCTATAAAAATGTTTCTTCAAATATGACACTTCGTAAGCACAAGTTCGCAACCAATCTCTTACTGTAAGCTTAAAACTGGACTTCAAACCCAACTTATGCGCATGAAAAGTGACAATCCCCAACAAATAGCATTAATCAGAAATAAACTTCACAAATAGCTACAAGTTTAGTGCATCAATGTACAAATTTTCTAGAAAAAATGTAAATCAAACCTATGTGACCGATGAATGCGGTATCAATTAGAGAAGCAATAGGATCTGCTGCCAAAGCCAAAGTAGTAGGGAGTGAAATATTGAGGATTTCCCAGCCTAATTCATCATTTGCGAGAGTATTCCTGAAAGCATAGGATAATATGGTCCCTTGTATTATTATGAATTAAATATCTACCAAAAATAGTAAAACAAGGAAAAATTCATCAAAGTTGAATAAAAGTCAGAAAACAAAGCACAGCTAAAGAAACATAGTTGAATGGAAAGAACACCAATAGTTGATAAACGGTACCTTATGCCAGAAAATAACATTAAAATGGGCGTCATTTTTTAGAACAACTTCCTTTCTCACAATGGAATTTGCTTACACAAGTGTACCACCTTTCTTCCCAATATTCAGTAGTTGATTAACCAATGCCAATGAAAACTAGAAAAAATCAAAGAAAAATCGTCAGGAATTGGATTAACAATCACCACCACTTTCACATCAAAGAAATCAAAAGCCTTCAATGACACCATAGTTTCTAATAGTTATAGACAATTATCCAATGAATGAAGTAGCATCCTTGAAGCAAAGGGACAAATCATATTATAATAACTCTTTCAATCACAGATGTCGGTGAACTTTACCTTTTACCTTCTAGTTTCTTAGATATACAAAACATTCTATTTGACTTTCTATTCATACCATTTTTTTTCTTTTAGTCCTTTTAAACTCATATTTTACTTTTTAAACCCTATAATATAATAATCTACGACAGAGACTTAAGGAAAACAAAAAATAATACATATGATATAGAGATTTAAATAAAATATTTATAACTATACAGACTATTCTAAAAAATAAATAAATAAATAAATAAAAACTAAACTAAACTAGAGAATAAATGATAAAATTTATGAAACTCTCAGTAAAAAAAAAAAAGTAATCAATCCTATATCATACCATGGAATATGAAAAGCATAAATCAATTAAAATCATGAATAGAACACGTTATTTTTACACCAGATAGGTGCAAACTCAGCAGAAACCTCTCTCAGTTGTGCAACACCCAGATAGGTGCACGCTCAGTAGAAACCTCCTCAGTTGTGCAACCCCCAGATTATACAAGGTTTTATGAATATTACATTATTAAATTTCATATTATAACTAACATCTTAGCATATTTCATAGTAAAAATATTTGTTTGCATATAATTGTAATTTATAGTAATAGTTTACTTTTTAAGCTATTAATGATCAACCAATAAAAGAATTACGTTAATTATAACTTTTAAAATGATTATAGTAAAAGTTAACAAATTTAACATACATTATAATTATAAATTATAATTAGATTACATATAGAATCTCTTTATGATTATTTTAAAATTTATAATTTATATAATAAATAAAATTTATAATAAATTCATATTTTAATATTTAAACCATATTCTATATAAATTTAAATTGTGATATAATATATTTTTAAAATAAAATTAATTAACAATTAAAAAATTAAGTATACAAATAAAAATAAAAATAAAAAGAGAATAGTATGATATCAACGTAGTCAAGAGAAATGTTTTGTTTTTTACTATTTGGGGGAATTAATGCGTGAAATATATTTGAAAGAAAGAATTAAAAACATCTAATTTAGCGAATCAGGAGATTGAATAAAATAACTATGATTAAATTAAGAAATTAAATAAATAATTAATAAAAATTAGGAAAGTGACCGGCAATTAGGAATTGTAATGTAGTATTCACCTATTGGGTAAGATGTAAGAAAGTCTAAAACAAGTCGAGTTTCGCTGCATTGTCAATGCCACTAAGAGTATCTTTAGGGGGTTTGTTTATAAGCAATACATCAGCTCATTTTCTTCTTCTTTTCTAAGAGTAATTTTAATGAGAGTTGCTTGTTCACGAAGCAACTCAAACCCCAGTTTCCTTTTATTGGAAAATTCTGACGTAGCAACATGAGTTGCTTGAAGAAGAAAGAGAATTGATTTCTCAAGCAACCGTCCTTTACTAGATTTCAAACAGATCTTATTGAACATATTTGGAAATATTTCAGAAATAATAATGATGAAAATTAATTTCGTATAATGTTTATGTATTTACTATTATTTTATTTTATTTTTAATATCTACTTATTGTGTATTTTTTCTCATAATTTATTTTTTTCATTGTAGTGCAATTATCTTTTTTAATAAAAATTTAAATTTGATTGAAAAAAAATTATAAAAGTTGAATTTCTTAAAGTTTCTTACCATTGGAATAAATTTATGTTTGAGTTGCTTAATGCTTACATGGCACACTAGAGACCACTTTTTTCATTTTTTCAATGCATGAAACAACTCAAATGAGTTGCTTCTATTGGAAATACCTTAAGCACAGGAGCTTATACAATAAATTTTGATAGAATTTAAGCAACTCAAATGGACTGATGTGACATTTGGGGTTACTTATAGTTGGAAATATTCTAAGATGAAAATAACCTGACTTTATATTGATCGTGGTACGACATTCCATAAAGTAAGAAAATACCATAAATACTATATTTAAACACTGATATCATATTCGATCCAAGTTAAGACACTCGATAAGTGGATTACTATACAAATTAATGACTTAGGATTAAACTATATGAACTAATATATTATTAAAAATATAATTTAATATTAATTATATAGTATAAATATTTTTGTTTCAAACCTACCTAAGTAAACCGTTGGTTCAGTGGTTAATTAGTTTTATTATTATTATTATTTATGAACAAAACTCATGTCTCAAAATTGATAATTAAGGATTAATTCATGAAATTCATGTCTCAAATATTATTTTAATGTAATAGTTACTTATAGTTAAAGAGTCGAGTTTAAGTTCCAAAAGTTGCAAAATTTGTTATGTTTTTCTAAACTTTTTCCAAGCATGCATATGAACGTGTGGGCAGGCAAGGAGCAAGGACTATCTACCGATCATGTGGTAGTGTTCCTATTATATATTTTGTATTCAAATTAGGAAAAAAAATATGTTTATTTAAAATTAAAAATAGAGTTAATAATAACAATAATAAGTGAGAATACACATTAAAGATAAGGGTAAAAACAATTAGATTGGAGCTTACTCCGTAGAAGTGAAGGGTAAAATGTTTTAAATATAACTGTATATATAAATAAGAATACAATAATCTACCAAAAACAGAAAAAACAAAAGGTAACTATTAAAAAATTATTCTATTTATATAATTGATAAAAATAAAATATTGAATGAAATAAAGTAATCTCACTCTCTACACAAACCGTTTCCCTTCTTGACGTGATAACAATAGTTTCAATTTTCTTATACTAAGATTTTGAAATATAAAATTATGATTTTAATCTTTGTGCATTATAACAAAATAGGATTTAGATTGATAACTAATAATAAATTATGTTTTGGATAACTTTTCTAGTTATTTGGTTAATTTAAAATTCTTTACATTCTCAATGTATATTATGTTTACGTTAAAATATTGCAAGATTAGTTTTAATTTCTTTAAAAAATTTAATGTATTTTTAAAACTTTTATTTTTAAAAATTATTATTAAAATTTAGAAACTAAAAATATATAAAATTATTATCTATAACTATAATAAAAACAATAAATCTTTTTCTCATACACATTTCAGTTTTGATTTTACTACTAAGACTATTTCTTCATGAATTACTTTTTTTTTTCCAAGTAAATCTCATGCTATAAACCATTCACATCTTTTAAGTAATTATCGCCTCCACTATTTCTTTTTGTTTTACATTTTTTAAAAGGAGAGAGGCATCCCTTTTAAATAATTATCCAGTTCTCTGTTCCATTTACCTTTTTTTTTAAATAAGAGAGATACGGAATGCCTTTTCTGCTATTATTAATTAAACTAAAGCTAACATTTTTAAGACAAACAATATATTTATCTAACTAATAATCTACGAATGATAAATAGATACTGTATAAAAGATATAATATTATACCAATTTGAATGATACAACATTAGTGTCTATAAAAAAATTAAAAAGATTGTTTTAAACGGCTAAAATTAGAAAAACAATGAAAAAAATAAAATATTAATTGCTTTAGAAACATAAAAGTGTAATAAATTCTAGCATAACTTACTTAAATATATTTTAATTAGCATAAAAGGTATGAAAATAGGAGAATTGAACTATGTGTTCAAACTAGCACACCAAAATTCTTGTCACATATCTTTTGACCAAAAAGAAAAAATAATGTAGGTTTGATAGTTATCCTCTTACTTCTGCTGTAAGAAGAAACAATTGTGTGCTATATTATGGTGATCATATATTATGATAGTGTGAAGTGATGTTATAAAATATAGCTTTCACTTACATAAGTTTGTAGTGAATGATGAATTTCTCTTCAAATAAAGTAATTGATCCCTTCTAAGATTTCTTGACATTGTGTAAGTATATGAGTGCAACATTGTTGAGCCTCAGCTGCAATTGAGTATATTTAAAATCAAACTCAAATAGTAACATAAAAATGTATAGTCAAAATATATCTTTTTCTTCTTATGTTGAAGTTCAATATTTCGAGAGAAAAAAAAATTGTGATTAGGACGTTATAGAAAATTTCTTTTATATATCGGAAGAATCCATTTTTGTTATTAATACATCATGAAGAAGAATATATATATATATATATATATATATATAAAATGAGGGATCTGTTTATTTTAGGAGTAAGTCTACTCAAAACTCACTTTATTCAATAACTCATATTCTACATCAAATTTTAACAATTGAACTGTTGAATTTTAAGTTCTTAGTACATAAATCAAGTTTGCAAATTTTAAAAAAAAAATTGAAATTATTTGATATTTCATTTCATTAATTCAAATTAATGTATAAAATAATTTTATAATTATTCGCCAATTTGAATTAATGAAATGAACTATCAAATGATTTTCAATTTTTTAAAAAATTTACAGATTTGATCTATGCATTAAGAATTTTAAATGCAACGGTTGAATTTTTAATTCAAATTAATGTATAAAATAATTTTATAATTATTCGCCAATTTGAATTAATGAAATGAACTATCAAATGATTTTCAATTTTTTAAAAAATTTGCAGATTTGATATATGCATTAAGAACTTTAAATGCAACGGTTGAATCGTTAAAAATTTTATGTAGAACATAAGTTATTTAACGAAGTAAGTTTAGGTAGACTTACTCCTCCTAAAGTAAACGGAACTCTCTCTCTCTCTCTCTCTCTCTCTCTCTAGAGTAAAAGGATCCCTTCTATATATATATATATATAAGTTGTGAATGTTAGTATGTCAATTTTCTTAAATATGTAATACACCATTTTAAATATTCTCTTTTATGAATCCAATATATACAACCAATTCTATAAGAATAAATACAAATCTAAAAAAAAAAAAATCGTCTCTAATACGAGGGCAAATAATTAACTAAATCTTTTAAAACAGATGAAATGATAGCCATCAGAAAGACGAATTGATCCTTATATAACATCTAATGGTAATTAAGAATGAATGGATTTCTATAGGTTTAAATTACAATCAGTGCCTTTTTTTACTCAATAAGGGTCATATACATATATTTCAAATGTTATTAAAAAAATATTATTTTCATGTAATTTTTCATTTTTTTTAATATATTCTATTGTTATTAATGTTTTTGATTAAAAACTTTATATGCCTGTGTAACTGTATATCTAGTTTAATAAAAATATAACCAAGACAATAAAAACATATCTTGCATATATATAGTTTAAATCCCTCTTTTTTTATATAAAACATTTCCATGCAATCATTTAATCTAATTATCTTATTTGTCGATTTGGTATTAATGTCAATCCATGAACAAAAAAAGCTAAAACATCATTCACAATATATATAGTGCAAGTACAAAAATAGAAATTTTGATGAAAATATTGTTAATTGAGTACCACTTAAGAAGAAAATGGCTATGAATCGACTCATTCTCTTCATGTGATTTGAAATTGTGGTTGTAACTCCTTTTCATGTAGTTTAAAATTGTGTTTCTGGACCATGTTAGGCCTGCATGTTGTGTTCGATTGACAATGTTGTGTGCTGCGTTTATGCCCTGTCTTGAAATAAAAAATTTTGCAAAAACAATACATAAAAAAAATGAAGGAATCATTCAATTCTATAAATAAAATAAATACATATATAAGATAAAGAAAAGAACATTTTGTCTCACCAATGCTAATTTTGAACCCTTCAACCCTTTGAAATATATACTAAATGGAACCCAAACTTTCTTTCTCACTTGTAATATTTTAGAGCCCTCCAACCCTCCCATAGTTAAGACAAATGGAACATATTAATTATCATATTCTTTTAGAGTAACGATTTGTAGGAATTCTCAAATGGCAAGAACCTCATCAATTCTACAGTTGTACGTGTATGTGAATAAGAGAAAATGCGAATGTGAATGGACAATCATTACCCTTAACAACTATGAGAAATGATCGACACAATATGTTATTTGTGAGTAACGGTAAGGTTGCGAATATGGACAAAAGAAGGGTTGTAATTAGGTTGACTAGCCATGACCAATGGTGGAGGTGATCTCCGATTAACAAGAATGAGGATTTTTGAAGGTGTTTAGTAATGTATATCAATGGGTGATGAGAAGCATCTAGGTGAGGTTGAAAACTTATTGACAATGAGAAACAATCATTGGAAATAAGATTTGATGATTTGTGTAAATGGCATAGCGAATGTAAGTGAGGCAGGATAAGGGTATTTTGCAACAAAAACCATAAGTATCATGATTTGGATCAAGGTTTGTTCTCTTTGATTGTAATAGAACGTACGTATATGCAAGATAAACAAATTGTGTGGTTAAGAGAAAATTATGGTATCAATGCACAATCATTAAGTTTCACACTTCAAGATTAGTAAATTATAAATAGATTCATTTGTCTTTCTTTTTATATATCCATTACTATAACAACATAAATAATATTTTTTACTTCGTCAACATGTGCATTATATAGAGAGAGAGAGAAAGAGAGAGGAATCTACTTACTCAAAGAATAAATCTTAGTAGACTTATTTTATTTAATAACTCATGTTTTATGTTAAATTTTAACGATTCAACCGTTAAATCAAAAGTTTATAATGCATATATCAAGTTTACAATTTTTTTAAAAATTTGAAAACAATTTGATACTATGTTTCATTAATTCAAATTGACGAATAATCATAAAAATATTTTATATGTTAATTTGAATCTATATAATGAATCATCATATGATTTTCAAATTTTTTAAAACTTTGCAAACTTGATCTATACATTAGGAATTTTTAATATAACGGTTGAATCATTGAAATTTTATGTAAAACATGAGTTATTGAGTGCAGTAAGTCTATCAAGACTTACTTTTGGATATCAACATCACTATACCCGTTGCAACTGCCACCACCATCATTATTGTTATCGCCACAAATATCATTGTCACCATGTCGCAACAATGATTGTGGTAGTGGAGACAATGATGACAATGATTGTGGTGGTAATGATGCCACTAACTTTATTGTCATTATCGTTGTTAGCACCTTCACTACCACTACTATCGTCACGTGTTGTTGATGACGACAACAATAGTGGCGATGACAATAAGGGTAATGGCAATTATGGCACCACTACCATGACTATCTTTGTCACCACCACCATCATTTGTAGTAGTGATAGTGGTGGTGACAGCAGCGGTAGATGATGATGATGATATTGATAGTTTGCAAGGGGTAATAATCATAATCTTGTAAGAAAATGTATATAATTGAGTTTTAATGTTAACCATTAGTTATTTTTATCTAGCTTATGATTTACTTTCCCCATCTCTCGTAATAAAACATACTCTCATTAATAAATAAAATATGCTAACAAATTTATATTATTAGACTTCTCTATATTATGCCACATGTAGAAAATTAGATTATTAAAATCTTTTTAGTAACATTTGTTTTTTAATTATTTTAACCTTTTTAATTTTAAAACAATTGTTTGGAATCCTAACTAAAATTATAATAAAATGAATATATTTTATTTTGCAACTAAATTCATAAATAAATATGATTAAAAATTAAAATAAATTATATATATATATATTAAAATAATTAAATTAGATATGAAATATGCTATTATTGTAACATCCCAATTTTCAAAAATAAAATAAAATAAGTTGTGTTAATAAAAATTATATAATAGATTAATGAATTTAATTAATTAAGTTTATAATATAAATATATATTTTATTTTTATTAAATAAAATAAAAAGGGATTGTAAGTGAAGAGAAGCGTTTGAGTTAGACTCGGAGCCCAACCTAAAGGTTTGAAATTTGACATCTCAATAATGGCTTTACTTCACGATGTAGACACATAATTTCATCTGGACCCATAAATAAAGAAATAGACTTCTAGTATGAAGAAAAGAAGTATCTGAAAGCCCAAGAACAACCTCAGAACTAAATTGATACGACATCGGAAGGCCCAAAGCCTAATAAAGGTGAATTAGGAGTTCAGAACGGACCGTTCTAAACTCCTAAAAAAGGCTTAGAAACCCTAGGTCAAAACGTGTCATTCCCCAACATGGAACTGGCTATTTCGACATAGGTTGTTAAAGGTAAAATTCAAATTCGGAATGAGCCGTTTCGATTCCAAAATAGGTCGTTCCAGATTCAAATTTTTTCCTTAACAAACTGATCCAAAATGGGTCGTTTCGAAACTAGAATGGGTCGTTCTGGTCAGGTCTGACGTCTATAAGTTCCAAAGTCGGGCACTACTCTAGGAGATGGGAAAATTTGCCTACTAGAGTCCTAGACAATTCAAAAATTCTCTTTCTCCCTCTTCTTGTATTTCTTGAGAGTAATGAGGTATATTGTAAGTGTGAAAGGTAGCCAAAAAGCGCTTCAAGACCCCACATTCAAAGCATTTATAAAAGCTCGTTCAAAGAGGTATTCTCATCTAATTTTTTCTTCATTGTCTTCTTTGTTGGTCCAAGTGAACTAGAATCTAGAAGGGGGTTGAATAGATTTTATCCTAAGATTGCTCTCTTTTACACAATTCTTCAAAAATAACAAATCAAGAAAACTAAAATCCAACCTTTATGTAATTTGAGTAACAAACAACAATAGATTACAAGGTTTATTACTAACGTAGCAGAATATCAAAGTATGAGCAGCGAATCAATCACTTGTAATCAATGTTGATTTTATATTACCTTTCTTTTAATCAGATTCAATTACAAGAATAAAGATCAGAGTTGGTACTGTAATTGAAATTTCGTTTTTCCAAATCTTTAAAACCTTTAAAACAAGAATTCAACAATATTCTTTAAAGATAAGGGTTAGAAGATGAAAAACACATAAATTTATATTGGTTCAGTCACCCACTTGGCCTACATCCAGTTTTTTCTTGATTTAGCACCCCACCAAATCAAAGATCATTCACTATAATATTGTTTACCAACACCTTGCACACACAATATTACAAGAATATCAAACAACCATCAATCTTGTCACCCCAAGATTGAATACAATAAAAAAATTTGTATCCCACAGAAATTACTTGAGAAACCCTTCTCAAAATTTCACCATCTCTTATTGAGATACCCTATCTCAAGAGATACAACAGTAAAAACGAAAATACAAGTTCAAAGATCAGAGTAATATCACCTAGTTTTGTAAAGATGTTGATCTTTCACTCTTGAGTCCAGTTCTTGAATTTCTTTTTTCCAAAATTCATGTCCTATCTTTGCACTTCTTCAAATTTCATAAAGTTTCTTTGGTAAAACACTTTAATCTTTTTTTTTTCTGAAAATATTACTATTCTTAATATTTCAAAAGTTCTCTTGGGTCTCTTTTTAAATTTCAAAAAGATTGGTTTTATAGAGTGCAAGACGTGATTCAGTTATAAAGAGTAATAACAATAGTAATCTATTACCCATGTAGATACCCTGTTACCAGCTCTTTAAATTGAACCAGAACATGAAAACTGTCTAGGGTAATTGATTATCCCAGGTGGTAATCGATTAACCTGAGCTTGAAAAGTCCCATATTTGCATATCACTTTATGGTAATCGATTAACTATATTGGTAATCAATTAACACGATGATAACTTCGTTTTTCAGCCTAATTCCAAGCAAGAGACTCTGTTTTAATCTATTACCAATTTTGGTAATCTATTACCTCAGAGAGTTCTTTAAAAAATATGTTCAGTAACAGACTTAGTAATCTATTAACATAGAGGACATTTGAATATCCTTTTCCAGCAACAGGTTTAGTAATCTATTACCCTGAATGGTAATTTGATTAACAAAGTTACCTTGAAGACTCTTGTTTTGAATCAAGTAATATTTCTATGTTTAAACACTTGGTAGTAAATTATCCTTTTTAAGATAATCTATTACTTCATGTTTACTCATGAAAATATTTAAAAAATAAATTCTTGGTTTTTAAAAGCTTAACAGATTCTTGAATTAAGCATACATCATCAAACATAAACAAACACACACACACACACAAGCCTATATCTAATCAATCAATGCAATATCCTTTTACATAGGCTCAAACATCATTTATACAATATCATCAAAACTAAAACTTCTTGAGGAGTCTTCTTGTTATCTCAATGATCTTTATCATTTCAACAATCTCCAACAATCTCCCTCTTTTTGGTTTGATGAGCCAAATCTCTAATGACATAAAAATTGATGGAAACATGCCAAGGCTAAGGAGACCAAGAGGTGATACATTAAAGGAACCAAGAGGAATGAGATGATTTTGAAGACCTTTCACATGTTTGTGTATATAGTAGTTTGTATAGGTTTATTTTGCCTTTGTATTCATGAGGCACTTTGTTTCCTTTTTTTATAGACCATTGAATTGTGAATTTAGAATAGGTTCTTTTAAGACTTTTACTCCATTTGACCTTGTATTAAAGGTCATTCATTTTTACTTTTTCAATAGTAGAAGTGGGGTTGCAATTAGCAAGGTCGACTAAGGGTGTAACTAGTAAATGGGGCAGAGTTGGGCCTAGTCCAAATTTTACATATTGGGCTTGTTTTATTCCATATTCTTCAAGAAATTGATTTAGCTATGTCTCACCATCATTTGGTGAACCTAAATAAACCAATTCCATGATTTTTGGATTGGACTTAGTATGGAACAAGGCCAATGACCTCCCACCCCTCTCCTTGGACGAATTTACTTGTCTCCTTTGGCACCTCTGGGAAGCTTGTGCTACAAGCTTCTAACTTAGCTTGCTTCCCAAGCAAGCTAAGATAGAAGCTTTGATGGAGTTAAGGTGGAAAACTGGATGAACTTGCTTCTTGAACCTTTCTCCAATTCACGGATCTTCTTCTTAAGGTAACCTTTGGATGAACTCTTGGAAGATTAGAACAAAGGATGAAGAATTCCCTAAGCTAGGATTGGAAGTATCCAAGCTAGAGAAGCAAATGAAAGCTCACGGACAAGCTTTAGGAGTGAAGATTTTCCTAAGGTTAAGGTCAATGGCTTTCCGTGACTTTTGGGAGAGAATTGGCTGATCTCAATTCAGAAATTCTCATATATGTTCAAAAGTGGATACATGAGTGATGGAAGAAGGCTTATATAGGCTCAGATTGGATGCAAGTGGTGCCAAGGCTCAAGCAACACATTTGGCGCCTAGATTTGAATTCAAATTTGAATTTGAATTCAAATCTTCAACTCCCATGTGCTTAACCGTGATCCTAGGTGATTCTATGCATCTAAATTTAATTTAGGAAGC